TTGATGGGGTCCCCATGATGAAGATTCGTAATTCGATCTTATTCCAGAGCCGGGTATGAGGATTCTTACCTCAGGATTCTTTGCTGAGCAGTTTTGGCTAAGGATTCCTCGGCAAGGGTTCCTTACCAAAGGTTCTGGATCAACGATCTTTTACCCTGGGCTCCTTTAAGGATTTAATTTTGGATGTTCCGTACCAAGGATATCCTAATGGCCAGTCTTGGTAATGGATCCTTCTGTAAGACTTCCGCGCCGATGATTCCCCATTCAGAGCTCCCAATTAAGTCTTCCTGTGGGGGGATGCCTTATCCAGGGTACTTGACTGAGGATTCCTTGGTAAGTTCCCTTATCGCGGATTCCGCAATGACAAGTCAGTACTAAGGATTTTTTGCTGAGGAGTGTCTTGGCTAAGGATTCATCAGGCAAGGACACCTTCCCAATCATTCCTGATTGAGTTTCCTCCGTAAAAGGTTCCGTGCTGAAGATTCTTTTCTACGGATGCATTCCTGATTAGCCTTGGTTAGATATTCGTCATTGGGGAACCATCATTGCGGATTCCTCATGTTTGGTTCTTTACTCGGGGCTCTTAACTCAGGATTCCTGGGTCAGTTTTATGATAGCGAGTTCCGTAATACGGATTTCTTAATGTGGATGGTTTGATGGGGGGTTTTGGCCAAGGAATCTTCGGGAAGGGTTCCTTTAGGATTCCTTTATTTAGGGTTCTATATATTTTCCCGCATTAAGGACCCCGCATTGAGGATTCCTCTACTAAGGACTCTTTGATAAGGAGTTTTGGTTTAGGATTCCTCACCAATGATTCCTGATTGTAATTCCGTATCGGGGATTCCGTTCCGATGTTTTGTGTTAACGGTTTTTTGTTGAGCAGTTTTGCGCAATGATTCTTCGTTCAGGGTTCTTTATGAAGGAGTTTTTCCCCAGGATCATTGAGAATTCCGTGCTACGGGTTCTTTGCTGAAGGGTTCTGGCCAGGGAATTCTCAGTAAGGTTTCTTTAGCAATAATCCCTTTCGCATAGCAGCTGATCGAGGATTCTTCGGCGGAGTGAGTCTTCATTCAAGGTTCCATTGTAAGCGTTCTTTGTCAATGATAAATGTGGGAGAGTTCCGTATGAAGAGTTAATTCATCATTTTGTATTTGACCTTTCTTGAACTATTCATTATGAAGGAGTTTGAGCGATGGCATTCAGTGGAAGGATTCATTGTGGAGGATTTCCTTGCTTCCTGGTGACTACAGCATGTGTCGTTCGGATTCTTCAATGGTAGCACCTGGTAGTGCTTAGAGCTTAGAGTACAAGCGGGGGTCACGGCCGGGGGCGCGTCGCGGGGGGGGGGCGTGGGGTCGTGTGACGGGGCCGCATCCAGGCTTCTGCATTTAGTGGAAGCCCGGACAGCGACCCGTGGGCACGCGGTTGCAGTCTTGGTTTGCGCCTTCTTGTTGTTGTGGTTGTTCTTGTTGATGATGATGATGATGATGATGATGATGATGATGATGATGATGATGATGGTGTTGATGATGATGATGATGATGATGATGATGATGATGATGATGATGGGGATGATGATGATGAGGATGATGAGGAGGAGGCCGATGATGGTGGTGGTGATGACAGTGCGTTGGTGCTGATCGTGATGCTGGTTATGTTGATGGTGGCGCTAATGATGTTGCTGCGGATATGGATGCGGGTGGTGGATTATGGTGATCATGATGATGGTGATGATGATGATAATGATGATGAGGATGGTGGTGATGATGCTGTTGGTGGTTGTGGTGACCGCGACGACGACGGTGTCCATGATGATGATGATGATGATGATGATGATGATGATGATGATGATGATGATGATGATGATGATGATGATGATCCCCCCCTTTTCTCTCGGCATCAGGACCAATCAAACTGGAGCCAGCTTGCAATAGTAAAAAGAATGATCCGCCGCAGAGTGCCATGGAACTCGTGAAGCCCCGTTCGTTGGGCCGCTGTCGCGAGGGTGCTGGCACAGGGGGGCTGCGCTGCGCTGCCTCGTAACGGAAGACATCTATAAGAAGAAAAAGTGTGCCGCCTCATCTTCGGCGTCAAACTCAAACGGGGCCTGCGTGCTACTCGGCTGGTCGGGCGCGCTCGATGGCGCTGAAGGGGTTTCAACTGGCGCTAGCAAAGAAACAGGCACGGGTGCTGGCGAAGCGTCAGTGGCACGCGGGCGTTGAAAAAGCACAGAGTCTGAAAGTGGCGCAACCTGCGCTGGCAGGCTGGGCGACACGAGCACTGGCTGGGCTGTACTTGCCATGGGCGCTGAAACGGGCGTGCCTTGAGATGGCGCTGGCGTGTCTAAAGAAACTGGTGGCGTGAGGGGAGCGGCACACATATGGTGGACTGTCACACCGCTCCTGGACGCAGGCAGGGATTCACCTCTGACGAAACGAATTGCTACTGCTCGAGAGTCTCCAACCAATGAGCCACTTCTTCCTCGAGCCATCCTGCTGGCGCCACTCCGCGGTGATGCTGAGCCGATCCCTCTGAGGCCAGCGCCTTCTGAATGATGAGGCGCCCCTCCCAGGTTGGGGCCCCGATGATGAGCTTCATTTTGTCCGTGTCGAAACAACTCTCGAGCCGTATGAAGCTGATGGCGGTCTGCAGATCGTCCTTGGAGATTTCCACCTCCGCGTCTGGGTCCAACGGCTGTACTTTCTCGAGGTACGTGGCGATCTCTGCCTTGAGCGAGCCCCCGATGTCGCATTTCTGGAAGCTCTCGAGGGCTGCGAGGCCCAGCGCTGGGGCGGGAGAGCCGATCTCCTTGAGCCTGGCCTTGTCGGCGGCTTCTCCGCTCCTGCGAAGCTGATCGAGGAGCTGCTTGTAGCCCTCGAGCTCGTTCGTGATCCCGTCGATGACGGGGTGCTTGCTGCTCATCGTGTACGTGTCGATGCCGATGCTGCTGTTGAGTCTGGTCTTGTGGGTGGTCTGGAGCAGCAGCTTCAGCGTGGATCGCAAGAGACTCAGAAGGTTCTTGTCCTTGCTGCTCCAGACCTTGTCGTTGTGCGCGCCGCGCCTGGCCCTGCGGCCGCCCCTGCGCTTCCTGCGCAGGCCCTGCGCGCCCGCGGCTGCGGCCTCGCCCTCGTCCTCGTCCGCGGCCGCTGGGGGGCGCGGGGACTTCGAGCGCTGGCCTGCTAGCGGCTGCCGCGCTGGAGGCGATCGCAGGCGCGCCTTGGCCTGCGGTGGCTCCCCTGGCTTGGAGGCGCTGCCAGATCCCTTGGAGCCCGCTGAGGAGTCCAGGGGGATACGCCAGGGCGCCCGAGACGCCTTGGCTGGCGTCGGCGGAGGGCCCTTCCCCGCGGGCGGCGCCGTCGCCGCGCCTGCTGCTCGTTCCTCGCTGGTGGCTGCGGCTGCCGTCATGCTGTTCAGGAAGCGGTGGGAGTGTAGGCGTCGAAGCTCTGACCTCGCTGCTCACGGGCTCACAAGCTGGGGGCACTGGCGTGTCTGCACGTCGAGAGGCCCTGCGGAGCTGTCGGCGTACGTCGAGCGGATGTCCTGGCCTCAGGATAAGGTCGGCTGATCGACGCAGCCCTGCCCGTACACCAGCGGTGCCCTCGATCACTCGCGGCCGCGGGTGCTGTGGATGGCGGGAAACTCGCAACACTGGGCTCGATCGAGTCGAGCGGAACTCCGTCCTGAGAACTGGTTTGAGCAAGGAACCCGATGGCGACGGCGGGAGGTGAGAGAGAAGGTGTCTCCGTAGCTGTTCGGGGGCCTGGTATTCATGATGACATGCGGGATCTAGATCATATTCACGAAGAGGGCATGTAGTGCATGTAGTACATGTGGCTGGAACCCAGGGATAAGCATGGTGAGTTAGTTCAGGTATGCATCGGCCCGCATGCCAGGCCCGCCTTAAGTGTCGTACTGCATGGTCTCTGTTGGGGAATGTTGTGCTCCATACTAGGCATCTGTTATCCACCTGTAATGTAGTTAAGATAGACGGCATACCATGTCCCACTCCCCTCGATTTAGTTTGATGCGTGACGAGCTGTTTCAACGTGTTGAAGCGCCTACCACAATGCTCGATCGTGCACTCGAACGGTTTGTTGATTTCGTCATCGCTGTCGGTCTCGGCGAGCGCATTCGCAGAGGGGAGGGAGTCGTTGAGGGTGATGTGTCCTGGGGGGGCCCATGGGGAGGTCCAGTAGGAGGCCCGTAGTGCTCGAACGTCGCAATACAGAAAGGTCTCTCGAACGTGTTCGTCTTCCCACAATGTTTTGACCACGGTCGGCTGCCACACCTCCTGAAAGCTCTCGCCTATTGGGTGTGTAGCCAGGCAAAGAAGATCGTCCGCGAGCTGCTGTGCCCACGGGTGAATGCTCGAGCCGCATGATGATGGTGACGATGACGGTTGTGACATGGATGTTGTTGGTAATGGTGGTGAGCAGGATGTTGACCTTGATGTTGATGCTGATGTTGATGGTGGTGGGGCTGATAATGATCCAGGTGGCGAGGATGTGGATGATATTATGCCGGGGGAGGGCGAGGTGGCGAACGAGGATGACGATGATGAGGATATGGTTGGTGAGGGCGCTTGTTGTCTGCAGATTGGGATGGAAGTCGTATCGGGGCGCGGGGACTGGATCATGTTATAGTTGCCCGTATCTCGATCTTCATAAAACGTTACGCTGTGCCTGCTGGCCGCTTTAGGGGTGGCATCGTCATGGCAGTACAGGGAGTGGTAAGGGTCCCTTAGCGTTCGCCGTCGGGTGCCATGTCCGCTTCTGTCAGGGCTTGGGCGGTTGGAACTCAAATCAAACCGTTCTATGTTTCCGGGCTTCTTGTGACAGCCATCAGGAACATAGCGGGTTCCGCGAGCAGGGGCGAGGGGGAGGAGGAGGAGGAGGAGGAGGAGCAGGAGAAGAGGAGGAGGAACGGGGGAGGCAGAGGAGGAGGAGGAGGAGGATCATGTTGAAAACTGTCCAGCAGCACCTCAGTGCGGCGATGCCCAGGTGGCTGGCTGGGTCGAGCTGAGCCTGGACCCCAGCAAGGAGGGCGGCTTCAGAGGGTGGGTTGGAGGGGGTTGAGGGGAAGAAGGGGGGATGAGGAAGGAGTTCGAGATGGAGTAAGAGAGTAGCGCGAAACCCTGCTCGAGCGGGGTGGCGCTGCGTAGCCAACCTCCTGTCGCCTAGCGGTTCTGTCGCAAGCGTGCTTCGCCAGGTCGCTGTGAGAACTATGCCCCCGCTGGTCTTCTATTCGACCGACCATTACTTGCAGTACTCGCCTCTCTCCACTGCCAGTGTATTTTCGCACTCCCGCTCCGCCCACGTTTCTTTGGCTGGCTCCACCAGATCTCACGTGTGTGTGTGTGTGTGTTTTCGCGGTGCCCTCCCGCTGCCTTGCCCTCGCTCGCCGCCCCGCTGCCCCGCCCCGCTCCGGCGCCCCGCCCTGCAGCCGCCGCTCCCTCGCCGCCCCGCCGCCCAGCCCCGGCCCGCTGCCTCGCTGCCCCGGCGCCCGGGCGCCGCGCCCCACTGCACCGGAGGGGTCGGCCGTCCCGCCTTTCTTTGCCTCTCTCTCTCGACTGCCGGGCGCGCGCGCTGGCTTCCGCGCGGCACGTCTGACGGTATGGCGAGTCGCCCACCCGCGACGACCGAAAAGGGTGTGTGTGTGCATGTGTGTGCGTGCGTGTGTGTGTGTGTGTGTGTGTGTGTGTGTGTGTGTGTGTGTGTATGTGTGTGGTGTGTGTGCTCCCTTGTTTCGAAACACTGCGCCCCGCCCCCACCCACCCCCCTAAACGGACCCCCTGGATCCCTGGTTCTGGACACTCCTGCAGGGGGTCTTTCCGGGCTTTCTGGACGTCCCTGTCAGGCCTAACCAGCGAGCCCAAAGCGGTCAGGGGGGCGCCCAGACGGCCCCACAAGAGCCCCAAGCGGCCCCACACCCACCAGACGCCCGATGATGACCCAAAGCAAAGAACACCCCCAAGAGGCCCTCAAAACACAAAAATCACAATACATACTTTGTCTGATTTGTAGTGCATTTTCAGATGATCGGTTCTTCGGTCTTCTGGGCGTCCGAGACCGTCCAAGTGGCCTCCAAGATCGCCCGAAGACAGGCCCAAAACGCGTCAAGACGGCCCAAGCTAACCCCAATACAGCCCAACAGGTCCCAAGATGACCCTAAGACATCCCCCATTGATGGCCCAAGATGGCCCAAGGACGCCTCCCAAATCACTCTAAATCGCGACCCGGTCGTTGAGGGAAACCACGAAGGGCAGCATGATGGCCCCAAGAAGCCCCCAGAGGCTCCCAGAAGACGTTCAGTAGACCTCCAGGGGCCTCTAGCACAACCCAAGACGCCTTCCAGAGACCCCCCCAAACCCCCTCAAGGATGGGCCTCCGCACAAAACGAGGACGGGTCCGCAAACAATGAGGACGGGGAAGGGTTTGCAGAGATTGGCAAGAACGAGTTAGAAGAAAAGGAAAAGAGAAGAAAGGGAGAAAAGGATAATACAGATAATGTCGGCACGAAAACGGAGGCCAGGATGTAGTATATATCGTTGCCTCTTTCTCTCTCGCTCGCTCGCTCGCTCGCTCTCTATCTCTCATTCCGTCCGTGATGTGTCAATGTGCATATATATATATACATATATATATATATATATATATATATATATATGTGTATCAATGATGTTTGCCTTTTCGGGCCTTCCTGGAGGCCCTCTTGGAGGCCTATTGGGCCGTCTTGGGCCGTCTTGGGCCATCTTGGGGCCATCTTCGGCCGTCTTGGTGGGCTCCTGGCCCGTCGGAAGCCGTTCGGAGGGCCTCTCTGGGCCGACTTGGGGCCCTCTTGGAATGCTCCAGGGCCATCTTGGAGGTCATCTTGGACGTCCTAAAGGCCTTCTGGGCCGTCTTGGGGGCCTCTTGGGGCCGTCTTGGGGGCCTCTTGGGCCGTTCTGGGTCCATCTGGAGGCCTCTTGGGCAATCTTTGGGCGATCTTTGGGGGCTCTTGTCCGTCTCGGGCCGTCGGAAGGCCGCAAAGAACCAAGTGTCAAAACCCTTAGGACAATAAATGCTCTAGGCCATTTGTGCACTTCCTGGAAGCCCTCTTGGAGGCCTCTTGGGCCGTGTTGGGCCAGCTTGGAGCCAACTTCGGCCATCTTGGTGGGCTCCTGGCCCGTGTGACGCCGTCGGAAGCCGTTTGGGGAGCCTCTCTGGGCCGACTTGGGGCCCTCTTGGGCTGCTCCAGGGCTGTCTTAGAGGCCATCTTGGGCGTCTTGGAGGCCTCTTGGGTCGTCTGTGCCCTCTTGGGGCCGTCTTGGGGGCCTCTTGGCAGTCCTGAGGCCATCTTGGAGGTCTCTTGGGCCTTGGACTGTCTCGGATCGTCGGAAAGCCGAAAAGGAGGAAATACGAACAACCATTAAAATCTAAGGAAAATCAATGATTCTAGCCTCTTCGGGCCCTCCTGGAGGATCTCTCGGAGGCCTCTTGATCCGTCTTGGAGGCCTCTTGGGTACCTTTTGGGCCGTCTTGGGCCGTCTTGGAGGTTTCTTGGGTGGATCTCCTCCTCTCTTGGGCCGTCTTGGAGGCCATCTTGGAGGCCATCTTGGGCCAACGTGGCCATCTTGGAGGCCATCTTGAGCCGTCTTGGAGGATTTGTTCCGGGATTTAGTTCCTGGGCAATCCTCCCGGGACCCCGCTGGGACGCGCCGGAGCCCCAGGGGGAGTTCTTTTGGAAAAGAACCAGACCTCAATCCCGGAAAACAATCCTCCAAGATGGCCTTCAAGATGGCCACGTTGGCCCAAGATGGCCTCCAAGATGGTCCAAGATGGCCTCCAAGTCCGCCCAAGATGGTCCTTGACGGCCTCCAAGACGGCCCCAGAGAGTCCAAGATACCTCCAAAGTCGCCAGAGAAGCCTCCAAGACGGCCCAAGAGGTCTCCAAGAGGTCCTCCAGGAGGGCCCGAAGAAGCCAAAATCATTGATTATCCATAGGTTTTTGAAGGATTTTGGCATTTGCCTCTTCTCGGCATTCCGAAGGCTCAAGACGGCCCAACAGGCTCCCAAGATCGCTCCAAGATCGCCCACGAGGCCTCCAAGATGGCCCCATGACGGCCCAAGAGGCCCCCAAGACGGCCCCAAGAGGGCCCCAAGACGGGCCAAGAGGCCTCCAAGACGCCCAAGATGGCCTCTAAGACAGCCCTGGAGCAGCCCCAAGAGGGCCCCAAGCCGGTTCAAGGAGGCCCCCAAACGGCTTCCGACGGCGTCACACGGGCCAGGAGCCCACCAAGATGGCCGAAGTTAGCTCGAAGTCTTAGATGGCCTCAAGAAGGCCCAAAACGGCCCAAGAGGCTCCCACTAGGCCTCCAAGACGGCCCAAGAGGTTCTCCAGGAAGGCCCGAAGAGACCAAAATCATTGATTTTCCGTAGGTTTTCGAAGGATTTGGGCATTTGCTTCTTCTCGGCATTCCGACGGCTCAAGAAGGCCCAAGAGGCCCCACCCAAGAGGCCCTCATGACGGCCCAAGTGGCCTCCACGACGGCCCCAAGAGGGACCCAAGACGGCCCAAGAGGCCTCCAACACGCCCAAGATGGCCTCAAAGACGCCCGAGATGGTCTCCAAGACGGCCCCGAAGCGCCCCAAAAGGGCCCCAAGTCGGCCCAGAAAGGCCCTCAAGACGGCTCCCGACGGCGTCAGACGTGCCGGGAACCCACCAAGATGGCCGAAAATGGCTCGAAGCTGGCCCAACACGGCCCAAGAGGCCCCCAAGAGGGCCTCCAGGAAGGCCAAAAGATACCAAAAACATTGATTTCCGAAGGGTTTTTGACGGATTCTGGCATTAGCTTATTTTCGGCCTTCCGACGGCCCAAGACGGCCCAAGATCGCCGAAAGATCGCCCAAGAGGCCTCCAAGATGGCCCCAGAACGGCCCAAGAGGGCAAGACGGCCCCAAGAGGCCCCCAAGACGGCCCAGGAGGCCTTTAAGACGCCCAAGATGGCCTCCAAGACGGCCCTGGAGCATTCCAAGAGGGCCCCAAGTCGGCCCATAGAGGTTCCCCAAACGGTTTCCAATGCCGTCAGACGGACCAGGAGCCCACCAAGACGGCCGAACATGGCGCTCAGATGGCCCAGGACGGCCCAAGAGGCCTCCAAGAGGGCCTCCAGGAAGGCCCGAAAACGCCCAAATCATTGATTTCCCATGGGTTTTTGAAGGCTTGTGGCATTTGCTTTTTTTCTGCCTTCCGACGGCCCGAAACGGCCCAAGTGCCCCAAAGATCGCCCAAGATGCCCAAGACACGGCCCCAAGAGGCCCCCAAGACGGCCCAAGAGGCTTCCAAGACGCTCAAGATGGCCTCCAAGACTGCCCAAGAGCCCTCCAACGCGTCCTCCAAGAAGGCCCGAAAGGGTCAAAATGGCCTCCAGACGGCCAAGGTGACCTTGAAGATGCCCACGTGTTCCCCGACGGCTTTCCAAACCGATTCGGGGAACACATGGTCCGATAGCTTAGCAGGTCTGGCCTCAACTCAACGTTCGGCCACATAGGCTCTTCCAATCAGAGGCAGCAGCGTGGAATGGGGATTCCCCGCTGCAGTGTCCCGGCGTAGAACCGCGGGTCACGCCCGGAGGCCGCGAGGAGGACATCCACCTCCACGCCCATATCCTCCTTGACGTCCACCACCTCATCTTCCTCCGTCCTCCGCAACAAGCACCTGCTCGTGCACCTTCTCAAGCAGCACCACCCTGGCATCCCTCTCCCCATCGTCCTCCTCCTACTCCTCCTGGCCATCCTGGTCCTCCTCCTCGTCCTGTTGCTCCTCCTCCTCCTCCCTTGCCTCCTCCTCGTCCTCCCCCCCCTCCTCCTCCACCTGCTCCTGCACCAGATCATGAATGAGAAGCGGCAGGCTGCGTGAATATGACGGCGCCGATGCACCTACATTCGCGGGCAGCTTGCGCGCGGGTGAACGCGCAATCGACCCCCGCGGCATCGCCCCCCCAACTTCGAACTAGGCGCTGCAACGGACCGCTTCTGTCAAAGCCTCGTCTCCCCCCTCGGGGGCGGTTAACCCACCCATCCCGCTAGCAGACCGTGGAGGCCTTCGATAAGGAATCCAGGGCCTGGAGCCTCGTGGAGATCCACTTCCGTGGAAAGGGGGGGGGGGGGGGGCAGAAGTTGTCTCCTCTCCCCTCCCCGTCTCCTTTCCCTCCCCCCCTTCCTCCTCCCCCCCGCCTCCCTCATCCCTCCCTCATCCCTCCCCCCTCCCTCCCGCCTCCCCCCCACCCTTCCTCCGCCTCAGATCCCCTGTAGGAGGGCGGCAGGTGAGCGGCGCGGTTGCGATTGCGCGCCTGCTGGCGGGTTGAAATGTGTCGCCCAGTTGCGGTTGCGGCTGCGCGCCCGCGGGCGGGTCGACGTGCGTGGAGAAGTTGCGGTTGCGCGCCCGCGGGCGGTTTGCACTGTGTCTCCCAGTTGCGGTTGCGGCTGCGCGCCTGCGGGCGGGTTGAAATGTGTCGCCCAGTTGCGGTTGCGGTTGCGCGCCCGCGGGCGGGTTGAAATGTGTCGCCCAGGTGCGGTTGCGGTTGCGCGCCCGCGGGCGGTCGAAATGTGTCGCCCAGTAGCGGTTGCAGTTGCGCGCCCGCGGGCGCGTCGAAATGTGGTGCCCAGTTGCGGTTGCGGTTCCGCGCCCGCGGGCGGGTTGAAATGTGTCGCCCAGTTGCGGTTGCGGCTGCGCGCCCGCGGGCGGGTCGACGTGCGTGGAGAAGTTGCGGTTGCGGTGCGCGCCCGCGAGCGGGTTGAAATGCGTCGCCCAGTTGCGGTTGCGCGCCCGAGGGCGGGTCGAATTGTGTCGCGTAGTTGCGGTTGCGCGCCCGAGGGCGGGTCGAGATGTGTTGCCCAGTTGCGGTTGCTGTTGCGCGCCCGCGGGCGCGTCGAAATGTGGTGCCCAGTTGCGGTTGCGGTTCCGCGCCCGCGGGCGGGTTGAAATGTGTCGCCCAGTTGCGGTTGCCGTTGCGCGCCCGCGGGCGGGTCGAAATGTGTCGCGTAGTTGCGGTTGCGCGCCCGCGGGCGGGTCGAAATGTGTCGCCCCAGTGCGATTGCGGTTGCGCGCCCGCGAGCGGGTTAAAATGTATTCCAGGTGCGGTTGCGGTTGCGCGCCCGCTGACGGGTTGAAATGTGTCGCCCGCTGGCGGTTGTGCGCCCGGAGGCCCTCTTGGAGGCGTCATGGGCATTCTCAGGGCCATGTTCGGCCATCTTGGTGTGCTCCTTCCTGGCCCGTTTGACGCCGTCGGAAACCATTTGGGTTTTTTTTGCTGGGCCGGCTTGGGGCCCTCTTGGAATGCTCCAGGGCCGTCTTGGAGGCCATCTTGGGCGTCTACAAGGCCTCCTGGGTCGTCTTGGGGGCCTCTTGGGGCCGTCTTGGGAGTCCCTTCGGCCGTTGTGGGGACATCTTGGAGGCCTCTTTGGCGATCTCTGGGCGATCTTAGGGGGGCGCTTGGGCCGTCTCGGGCCGTCGGAAGGCCGAAAAGAAGCAAATGTCAAAAGCCTTCAAACATTAATCGGGAAATCACTGTTTTTGGCATTTCCTGGCCTTCCTGGAAGCCCTCTTGGAGGCCTCTTGGGCCGTCTTGTATTGCAGCATTTTCGGTCCTTCCAGATGGTGCTCGCGCTGCGGCGGTGACCGTGTCTCCGGATTGGCGTTTTCATTTCAGTTGGGGGAATGTCGGACGTGGATCGACCTCTTACCCTGACACGTCGACTAGTGAATTGTCCGTTTTCGGTTCTCGAGAGGGCGCCGCGGCCGTTATTTTCCAGGCTTGCGCCCGCCAGGTTTGGGCCCGAAGTCGTTGTCACTAAACCACGTTTTACTAAAGGGAGGTCCGTCCATCCCCGAGAATGGCTCCGCCGCCCCAGCGCGGGCCACCTTTCTGGACCTGCTTCCTTCTTCGCTGTGGCCTGCCCCATCTTTCCCCCTTCCGCTTCCCCGCAGGACTCAGGACTGGTTGCGCTGTTGTTCGCGCCTCCACGTCCTGTTGCTCAGATTGCTTGCCTTTCTGCTCGCCGTGAAGTTTGCAGAGGGTTCCTCTGCCCATCGTGCAGCAACCAGGGAGCCAAGTCCTGCGACTGCCGCTTGGAGATAACCCGCGCTCGCTGGATTTAGGAGGATCCACGGGATGGTGAGAATGGGTCGGATGATAGATGTGGCACCAGCGCGCCTGGCTTGCCCCTCTCCTATTCCTCCTCCCCGCTCTTTCCTTGCTATACCCAGGCTACTGCCCCACCCTCCCGACGGCGACGCTTCGTGGGCCGCGAGCGACGCGCCTTCCCAGCATTCCTCTCACTCCTGCCCCCCGCTGCTGCTGCTGCTCCTCCTTTGCCCCCTCCAGCTTACGTTGCATCTTCGGGGGACCTCGCCTGTCCCCAAAATTGGTATCTTTTCTTGTGTCCGACGCGGGCTCGATGCGGACTCGACGCAGAATTGGCGTGGATTCGACGCGGATTCGACATGGATTCGACACGCATCCGACGAGGCCGACATGGGTTCGACACGGATTCGACGCGGATAGGGCCGCGACGGGACAGACGAGGTCCCCCGATGATGCAACACAATCCAGCTGCTCCCCCTTTGCCCCCTCCAGCCCCTCACTCTGCCAGGCCGTGAGCGCAGCCCGCTTGGCGCCCAGCGGCATCCCCGGACGCAGCCGGGGGCCTCCAGAGGCCTGCGGAGGTCCCCCCCGGGGGGTCCCTGGATGTCCCTGTAGACCTGCGCAGGATTGGGGAAGGGCCAGACACGGTGCCAAATCCTCGATCCCTCGGCCCCTCGGTCCTCCTCCCCCTCCTCCTCCTCCTCCTCGTCCTCCTGCTCCTCCTCCTCCTCCTACTCCCCCCCCTCCTCCTCCTCCTCCTCCTCCTCCTCCTCCTCCTCCTCCCTCCTCCTCCTCCTCCTCCTCCCTCCTCCTCCCCCTCCTCCTCCTCCTCCTCCTGCTCCTCCTCCTCCTCCTCCTCCTCCTCCTCCTCCTCCTCCTCCTCCTCCTCCTCCTCCTCCTCCTCCCCCTCCTCACCGGCGTCCTCGGCGGGTGAGCGTTCGGTTGGGCGGCGGCAGAGCCAGGCGTGCTCCCAGGATCGCGGCTGGCCCAGCGATGGTGTCTGCTCTGGCGTCTTCAGCGAGCGCTTTCCGCCCCCGTGCCTCGAAGTGAAACGAACGCCCCCTTCTTTCCTCCCCCGTGCCCACCCTGACCTTCCACGAGGGCAACAAAAATAGCACCAGGACCTCGATATCTTAATTCCTGTCGAGGTTTTAGGCAGCCCAGATCGGTCTGAGGGCTGGAGGGCTATTTTCAAGCACTCTGGAAGGTCAGGGCACCCTCCCCCTCCCCTTCTCCAGAAGTGAAGCACGGCAGGGAGCCTCCGCCCCATGCTGCTGGACACAGCGCGGAGCGCTGGCCAGGCTTGGTCGCGCCCCCCGGGCCGGTGGGGTCCGGGCCAGAGGCGGAACGGTCGTCGCGTGACGTCGGAGAGGGGGCCTCGGCCGGTTTGCGCCCCGCCCCCAGGACAAGATGGAGGTCGCGGTGCAGCTGGAACAGGACCGTCGGCGCGGCGCTCTTCCGCGCCTCCTCGCACCTGGCATCCTTGGTTTTGCCCCATCCGTGGGACTAGGTTCGGCTGTACAGTGATTCCCTTCGCCGCCTCTGCTTTCTCTTCGATCATCCAGGACTCAGGGTCGAGGCTTTTGGACTCCTCGGGACGTTCTTCGGCCTCCCGAATGTTTCGAAGGCCTCATGGGACCTCCCAGGATCTCCAGGGACCTCCGCGGTCCTCCAGGACCTGTGCGGACCTTTTGCGGCCTCTTCCATTCTCCTTCCCTTTGCGTTCTTTCTCCTCCTCTTCTCCCCCTACTCATTCCTTCCTCCACCTCCGTTCCCCTCTACTTTTTTCTGGTCTCCATTTCCCTCCTGCTGCTGCTCCTGTTCCTCCTCGTCCCTTTGTCCTCCGCACTCCCTCTTCGATCCTGCCTGCTCGATTCCTCCTCCTACTTTCTCCCTCCCGCGGTAGTTGGAAGGCAACGCTCAACGGAGCACGCCCCCACCGAAGGTCCATCAGTGCATCCTGCCGCCGTGCCTGGGTCGTGGGTCCGTGGCGTGTCTCTGATGCCTCTCGGGTTCTCTTGGGATGCGTCTCGTGGACCTGTTGGAGGCTTATTGGGGGCATCCCTCCTCTTCTTCTGGGGCCTCTTGGTGGCCTCTCTGGAGCCTCGGGGGGACTCTTGGGGACTTTTTGGGGGGTCTCTTGGGGGCCTCTTGATGCCTCTTGCGGGCGTCTGCAGGGGCTTTGGGAGCCTGCGGGCGGTCTCGAAGGGGAGACCCTCGCGGGTGCCTCTTAGGACCGCCTTGAGGGTTCCTTGGGCCATCTTGGGGCAGCCTTGGGACTCCTCGGGGTTCTTGGAGGCCTAATTACGGGGTCGACTCGGAGCGATCGAAGGGGCCTCTTTGGTCTTGGGTTGTCGGAGGCCAGGAAAACCGAGAGTTTGCTATTTCGTCCAGAAACGTACGGAGTATCGATGCTTTTTCCCAACCCTCCTGCGTTGGGTTCTCGTTTTGAATAGAGCACTGCTCGCGCGAACCTTCCTTCCTTCCCGTCCCTCTCTCCCCCCCTGCCTTTTACCTGGCTCGTCGCTGCGTTTCGAGGGCTGCTGGGGGCTGCGATCTGTGAGACTGTCGCCACTTTCGAGGGCTGCTGGGGGGCCCATCACAGTGGGCACCCGCGGCGGATTCAAATGGGACCTCGCCATCCCTGGGGGGCTGCGATCTGTGAAACTGTCGCCACTTTCGAGGGCTGCTGGGGGGCCCAGCACAGTGGGTACCCACGGCGGATTCAAATGGGACCTCGCCATCCCTGGGGGGCTGCGATCTGTGAAACAGTCGCCACTTTCGAGGGCTGCCGGGGGGCCCAGCACAGTGGGTACCCACGGCCCACGGCGGATTCAAATGGGACCTCGCCATCCCTGGGGGGCTGCGATCTGTGAAACTGTCGCCACTTTCGAGGGCTGCTGGGGGGCCCAGCACAGTGGGTACCCACGGCGGATTCAAATTGGACCTCGCCATCCCTGGGGGGCTGCGATCTGTGAAACTGTCGCCACTTTCGAGGCTGCTGGGGGCCCAGGGTACCTTCACCTCGCCATCCCTGGGGGGCTGCGATCTGTGAAACTGTCGCCAGCTCGTCGCTGCGTTTCGAGGGCTGCTGGGGGCTGCGATCTGTGAAACTGTCGCCACTTTCGAGGGCTGCTGAGGGGCCCAGCACAGTGGGTACTCACCGCAGACTCAAATGGGACCTCGCCATCCCTGGGGGGGCTGCGATCTGTGAAACTGTCGCCACTTTCGAGGCCTGCTGGGGGGCCCAGCACAGTGGGTACCCACGGCGGATTCAAATGGGACCTCGCCATCCTGGGGGGGCTGCGATCTGTGAAACTGTCGCCACTTTCGAGGGCTGCTGGGGGGCCCAGCACAGTGGGTACACCGCAGACTCATATTAGACCTCGCCATCCCTGGGGGGCTGCGATCTGTGAAACTGTCGCCACTTTCGAGGGCTGCTGAGGGGCCCAGCACAGTGGGCACTCACCGCAGATTCAAATGGGACCTCGCCATCCCTGGGGGGCTGCGATCTGTGAAACTGTCGCCACTTTCGAGGGCTGCTGAGGGGCCCAGCACAGTGGGCACTCACCGCAGACTCATATTAGACCTCGCCATCCCTGGGGGGCTGTGATCTGTGAAACTGTCGCCACTTTCGAGGGCTGCTGAGGGGCAATGCACAGAGGGCTTCCCGCACGTCTTTCTCCTGCTCTTCGTTCCCGACTCCCTATGTCCTCTTCGAGCCTGTAGTTGTCGCCCCTCGTTCTTGTATGGTTCTCCTGCGCATCATGCCATTGGCGCGTGTCCCAAGTAGCTTACATATCAAACAGCGGATCCTGCAATTTGATTGTCCGTGCAAGTTTCGGCCAACTCCTCGTTTCCCATGATACAAATGGGTTGGGTACGTCACAGGGTAATTGCGTCTTGAGGCCCTCTTGGGAGCTTTCTTGGGCCGTCTTGGTGGCCTCTTGGGCTGTCTTTGGGTCATTTGTGGCCGTCTTGGAACGCTCTTGGGCCGTTTCGGGACGTCTACGACCTAGCTCCCTTGGGGCGCTCCTGGGACGTTCGTGGGTGTTCTGCAGCCCGCGCCTGGGAGTTCTGGCATCTCTGAACCGACCTTGCTAGGACCCTCCCGCAGACTTGCCAGGAACTGTACGGGCTCCTTTTCCTCCAGGGACCCCCTGGGCCGCAGCGCGCGCGCGCGAACATGCAATCATACATTTTCCTGCTTGCCTTTGGCCCGCTGGGCCGGCGATGGGGGAGGGGGTGCTGCTCGGGCGTTGCGCAATGCGGGGCGATACGCTGAGGGGTGAAGAGCGGTGCACCGCTCGTTCCACAGAGGGGCCCGCCCCATGGGGGCCAACAGGGGCACGAACGATCGCCGCCCCACTGAGCCACGCCCGAGGTGCCGACCTGGACAACTGCGATCGGAGAGCGCTTCCTCCTCCTCGCCCTCCTCCTGGCGCGCGGCGGGGGGGGGCTGGCGCGGGCGGCAGGCGCGCCCCCCGCCCGCGCGAGGAGGCCAAGGCGCTGGACGAGCGGGGCCTGGCGGAGGAGGCGGGGCGGGGGAGGGCGCGGGGCCTCTCGCGGCGGAGGGGGGCGGGGGGCGAGCAGGGGGGTCAGGAGGGGAAAAAACACACAGACACAATGAATCGTCGATTCTCCAGAGAATGTGGGGAAATATGGGAAGTGGGGGGGGAAGACAAAAACTCAGAAAAGATGGGAAAATCTGGGGGATCCTTTTATTTGTGTGCATTTGTTTGTGTGTCCCAGGGCCCCTTCAGTGGGGGGGGGGCGGGGAGTCGGCACGGAGGGGGCGGGCCCGGAGGGGCCCGGGGGCGCCTCCTCGCTCTCGGCCTCTTGCTTGGCATCGCTCGGACGTGTGTATTTTTCCTTCGGCGAGGACCATCGAGGAGCATCCTTGATCATTTGGCGAAAAGACCACGCACGAAACCGAAAAAGGCACAGGGAATGGACGTCCGAGCGATGGCAGGCTTGGGGTGGGGGGGCCCTCCCAGGCCCCCCCGGGGCCCTGGGGCGTGTGCCTCGGAGAGCGGCCCGTCAGGAGGGATGGGGGGAGGGGTGCGGAGGATGCCCTGTGAGAGCATGACCAGGCTGGCTCATTTCTAGGCTGAGGGGATCAGGGATCAACTCATCCCATCGCAGGTCCCCGGCCCGCCCGTACACGGACGGAGCTGGAGTGAATCGGAGAGGGCGCATCAGGCAATTAGGAGGCAACACAGCTATGCATCATACATTCAAGTGGCTTGCGCCCTTCGGCCGACCCCCAGAAAGAGCGGGGGCTTGCGGCGATCGTGGAAGTTATTTGGTGGGTCAGGAGCCTCTTGGACGCATATGAAGACATTTGAGAGGCTCTTGGGATGCTTCTCAGGTGCATTTTGGATGGCTCTTTGGTGCATCTGGGGGGCTTGTGGGGCTTCTCGGGGGGCTCTTGGGGGCTTCTTTGGGGCCTCCTGGAGACCTCTTGGGGCCTCTTGGGAGTGCCTCGGATGCATCTGGGGGGGCTCTTGGGGCTATCTTGGGGGGGAACGGCTTGACATGTTAGTTCGTATTCGACCCCTTGGGCCACTCTTGGGCCTCTCTAGCACGTCTTGGGGGCCCCTGGGGCCGTCTTGGGACCCTCCATGCCCGTCTTGAGGCTCTCGTAGGGGCCTCATGGCTCATCTCTGGACGATCTTCGGCCATCTTGGTGTCCTTGGTTGCCTGCGCGGGCCTTCTCTCGGAACGCACACCATCGTTTTTATCTAGGGATCGTGGCTTGGGAGCAGCACCTTAGCATGCGGGACGTGCACGATCCTCGAGCGGGTGCGCGCGGGATGAGGGGTGTAGGAGGTAGCAGCCATGCGGGCAGTGCGCAATCCATGAGCGGGCGCGCATGGAATGAGGGTTCAGGCATTAGCTGCCATGCGGGAAGTGCGTCATCCTCGAGCGGGCACGCGTGGAAGCGGGGTTCAGGCATCAGCTGCCGCAGGAAGTGCACAATCCTCGAGCGGGTGCGCATGGAATAAGGGTTCAGGCATTGGCTGTCATACGGGAATAATTGTATCATCCTCGAGCCGGCACGTGTAGAATGGGGGGCTAGACATTATCTGCCATGGTGAAAGTGCACCATCCTCGAGCGGGCATGAGAGAAGTGGCCTCGAAAAGGAGGGGCGCTGCACGCAAGAGTCTGCTGGTCGAGGGAGGGGCTGTCCCTGATCAGAATCCTAACGCCCTGCCAAGCAGACCTTGGCATGCTTTCACGCCGCAGCGTGTCAGGGGCACGATGGCGGATATGAGTTTGGCCTCTCCTCCTCCCCTCGCCCCTCCTCCTCCTCCTCCTCCTCCTCCTCCTCCTCCTCCTCCTCCTCCTCCTCCCCGCTTGTCCTCACAGGTGGAACCGATGCGTTTTCACTGAATGTCGCATCGCATCAGTTGTCCGGCGACAGTACGCTGTGCTACGGTAGGTTTGCGTCGTGTCGACCGGCGGCGACCCCAGCGCGGGCGTTCAAGGTTGAACGCCGCCGGCGGCCCAGAATCGTTCGATGTGGAAGGATTGGACGTTGCGGAAACGGCCGATCGTTCAAGGTTGAACGATCCCTGCGGTGTCAAAAACCAACGCCGGGGTCGGCACGACACGAACCTGCCGTAGCTTTTTATTTGCCGATGCGCCGTTCGAGCGCAGGGCTTGACTACTGCTCTCAGGGGTACCTCTGGGAGGCTCTGTGACCACTTGAAGCTGCCTTGGGGCGGTCGTGAGTTGTTTGGAGGCCTGCTGGGAACCACATTTTGCCATGTCGGGCTATCTTGAGCTATGTGGGGCCATCCTGGAGCAACCTTGTGCCACCTTGGACGCTCTGACCGCCCGCGCCCCTCCCCCCCTGTCCAGACCCACGGGAGGGGGTGCGAGGGAGGGATGAATCCTTCCTTGACGGGAACAAGAGTTTATATGGTATCGACGCTTCGTGAATCTCCACCAGCTCACCCAGAAGCGATGCCCAGGCGAGTTGCATCGACCATACAAGTTTATGAGCACGCTGTAGATCACAGAGGGGGAGCGGCGGTCAAGCCGAAGATCGGGAACAGCCTGGGCAGGCCAGGATGGCCACCACGCATGCTTTCGCGGATCTTTCGATGTGGGAGTTTCGTGGCAGATTAGTTCGGCTACCCTGGGGGCCTGTTGGGGCCACTTTGGAGGCCGTTGGGACTCTCGTGCGGCTCCCTCTGTGGGCCTTCTTGGGGCTCATGTTGGAGGCAATCGCTCAACTTCGGGGTGGGTGGGTGTGCAACTGACCTCAGCTCACCCCTCGTCGCAGCCAGAACCATCGCCGCTTGGAGCCCTCTTGATGCGCTGTTGTGGCGCTCTTCTGTACTTTCGCCGTCTTTGAGCCGCCTTGGGGCCTCGGAAGCTAGTCGAACACGAACATGTGAGAAGGTAGCAAACAGTCTGGCTCCCAGTGCCCCTCGGGGGCGTCCCGAGGGGCTCCGTGATCACTTGGAGCGGTCGCCGAGGCATGTTGGGAGCTACCCTGAGCCACCTTGGGCTATCTTGCGCGATCACGGGTCGGGGGTGGACAGACTTCCCACCCTGACACGTCGATTAAGGAATTGGCCGTTTTCGGTTCGCGAGAGGGCGTCGCGGCCGTCATTTTTGCGGGTCCAGGTCCGTCGGTTTCGGTCCCAGGCCGTTCTCACTAAGGGGAGGTCTATTAAAAGGAGGTTAGTCCACCGCCGAACGGAGGCCATCTTGGCCATCCTGCGGCCTTCTGGGAACGACCTTGGGGCCATCTTGGACTGTCCACCAGCGTCGCTGGGGGAGGGCTGCAGGCCCCGGGGAGATTGGGCAAATGTGGATGCAAGCCTTGCCCCGAGCCTGGCATCGCTCGGACGTGTGCATCTTATTCTCGGCGAGAACCATCGAGGACCATCCTGGACCATCGGGCAAAAAAACACACGCACGAAACCGAACAATGCACGGGACATGGACGTCCGAGCGACGGCGAGTAGATGCAAACCTTTCCCCGAGGGGGGAATGCTGCGGTGGGAAACACGCACTCGTTATACCAAGTACGCACAGGGGGCTGATGGGACTCCTCAAACCGCCTACGCCCAGAAGGCTGGTGAGAGTTTGTACAGCCAGCTATGCGCCCTAATATATGCAACTTGTTGGTGGTTCGGTGGCGGATACGCTGCTCGGGCCCCTTGCGCGGCGATGTGTTTCTCGAGCTCAGACGAGCCTTCAGGTAATCACAGGTGCGGGAGTGTAGCTTGCTATTCTGTCTTGCGCATCCATTGCGGCCAGGGCTGAGCGGGGAGGGGAGGGGAGGGGCGGTCAGGGCATCTTAGAGGCTTGTAGGGACGGTCGGCATGCGAGGCAGCCCAGATGTACGACCGCTCCCTCGCAGTCTTCCGCTTCGTGCACAAGTACGACCCAAGAACAAAGAATCCCAAGATAAAGGATATGGTCGATGAGGGGGAAAGCGGGAGCCAGGGGCTCGTGCTCTTGGTTTGCTGTTTCGCGGGACTCTTCCAAGACATTCGGACATTGCGCCTAGACTCGGTGACCCCTCGGTCTGTTGTCTCATCATCATGGTCGAGCAGCGTGCTGTAGACGTGACGCATCGTCTAGAAAGGCGCCTCGCCTTGCAATTGCAGGGTGCATTTGCGGAAGTTGGAGACGTGGGGGACGGAGAGGGTAAGGATGATGGGCTTCGTTGGAATGTTTGTTTAGATCCCCGAGGAACGCCCGGCCCCCCGCGACACCCCCCAGAGAACCCGCGTGTCCCAGATCTTCTTCAGTTCTCGAAGGTGCACACCTCTGACGGCACAGTAGGATTCGAGTATCCCTTCTGGGCGGGGGCGGGGTAAGGGGGGGCTCGTGCCCGCGACCCTGGCCGAGCCTGCGTCGCATCCACTGCTTCTTGGATCGATCCAGCTCGACATCCCTTCTCCTCCCTCGGCGTTCTTCGAGTCTTCGGCCCCTGGGGTGGGGGCGACGACCAGGCGAGGACTTTTCAGTGCAGCTCGGGCCGCTCAGGCTGTTTCGTGCCCAGGTCTTCGCTTGTACTAACTAACCACTCTGGCAGGGGAGATCGTATGTGCCCCTTGAGTGCACTCCTTCACCACATGAGCAAGCCATCATGTGACAAGGGGCTTGTATGTATGCATAGTGTTGTCAGAGCCCGGTCAGTGCTGCCGCCCCTCGATCCCCCACGGGAGGTCGGAAAGCGCATCGACGAGTTGGTCGAAAGAGTGAACAGACTGAAGGAGGCGCACTGGAGATTTCGTGCTTTTCCATCTCTCATGGCTGCAAGCTTGATGATGGCACGATCGATTGCGATCTAGCACACTGTATTTGTACTGCGGTCAACAGTAGGCCTTCTGGGCGGTCGTCAGCCCTTACAACCGAGAGTGCTCCGATCATGATTCTCTCTTCTCCTCCTTCTTCTGTCCCTCTCGTCCTCGCTGCCGTCCTCGCCCTTTTTCTTCGTTCGGCTGCTGCTCCCACTCCTCCCTCCCCTCCTCCCTCCTCTCTCCTCCCTCCTCCCGTCAACCCTCCTGCTCAACGCTGGCCCCTCTGGGGCCCAGTTCCCCCATCGGCTCTGCCCACAGCCCAGCCAGGCGCAGCCGGGTGCCCGCCTGGGGATTGCCGCCCTGGGCTCCGGTGTGGGGGTGGCAGTTTGCGCTGGGAGTGCGCCGTAACACTCCTCGCCCCACCAAACAATGTTCTAAGAACCTTTTTTGGTTTCCACGAACTGTTCTTAGAACATTTCTGGCTGGGACTGACTTGTTTTAACGCACCAGGTTTACGTTCATAGGAATGCCGGGACCGTCGGTCCCTGCTCAGTGCGCCTGGCACTCCAGGAGCTGCATGGGAGCGGGGAGGGAGGGAGGAAGGTGCAGGAGGAAGGAGAGGGGAGGAGGAAGGGCGGGAGAGGGCGATGCCATCTTCGAGGACTTCGGTCGAGAAGGGTCATCAGACTACGCGAGAGGACGTGGATGACGGCTAGCATCGCCATCCCTGGCGCAGGCGAGTAGACCATGCCGTCGTCGAAGCAATCGTTGAAGCCTCTGACCCAGAACTGGGAAGCTCACGGATTGGAGTTCTGACTCGATAATGGCAGATTGGTCAGTCGCTTGGTGCGGGTCGGCAAAGTTTGGCCCCTCCCCCCTGTTCACTCAACATATCATTGAAGCCTTTCTTGAATTACGCAGTTGTTCATCGAAGTCGGACTCAATACTAGTGCACAGTGACAGAGCTGTCCGAGGGCAGCTCGTTCTAATCGCAGCTCCGGACTTGTTCAACGGCACGGAACATACTGGCACCAGAAATGCGCGGCAATTGACCCGATCGTGCAGGGGCTACCACAACCATGGTCGGCCGTTGCCTCTACCAGCCACCTCGCGCTGGGCTCTCCTCCCCTCCGCTCTCCCTTGCCCCTTCGCGGCCAGCTCGTCTCGCGCGGGGCGCCTGCAACGGAGGCACCGCGCCCCACCCGCCCTCCGCTGCAGCCTGGCTCGAGTCAGGACCGCGGCCAGCCCGACTATTGAAGCCACCCTCGCCAGTGCCGACATCACCGGCGATGATGAAGCTCCTCCTGATCGCCCTGTCCTTGCCCGTGGTGGTCCCGGCCACCGAGGTGAGCGCGGCGAAGAATCCGATCCGCAAGGTGGTGACCATGCTGCAGGGGATGTACAAAACCGTGACGGAAGAGGGGGAGAAGGAGGAGACCCGCCGCCAGAATATGCTTATCCATATCCACCGCTTCGGAGTCGGGACCAGGGCACTCGAGTATCCCTCCCAAGAGCTGTGGATATGGACGTCTTCCCTGCCCCCGAGTTTGGGAAGATGTCCACATGCACCGCTCGCCCTGGATCCAAGGTAGGGATTCCAGCAGCTGTGGTCTTAGATGTCTTCTGGCGGCGCAGGAGAAAGCATTCGAAGAGTTCATGTGCTATCCAGGCGCGCTGGCGCGCTTGCCGGCCGCCGCGCTTTGGCAGCCGTGCAGTAACGTTGCTGGGTGGCACGATCGCGGCACAGCACAGGTGTTTGTCGCGGTGTCTTCGAAGCGTTTTCGGAGGCTTCCGGGCGGCCTGCGTGGTGCTTTCTGAAGGTCTGGAGGCCGTCTGAGAGGTCTCGGGGCCGCTGAGTTGGGGGGGTGTCATGGCTGGGGTTGTCTTTGTGTGTGTTGGCGTACGCGTGTGAAGCAAACCTTCTTGGGGGGCTCCATGATCCTTCTTGGGCGGGTGTTGTGCCGTGCCAGGGTGGCCTTGAGCCGACTTGCAGTCGTGTTGGCGCCCTACAGGCCGTCTCAGGTTGGAGTTTTTTCCCCGCCGTCCACCCTGGCGACATGGGGAACTTGCGCACCGCTTTGCACACAGCACGCCCGTGACATGGGCAGTAATTGCGATTCCCTGGTGGGGGCGGCCGCAAAGAAGCTTCCGCACACCCAACCGGCAGCACACCGGGCTCGACACGTACATACCGCGCTGCAGCGCGCGGTGGTGGATTGCAAGACTGGGGTGGGCGACCTCGAGAGCTCCATCGAATCTGCCAAGACGAAGATCGAGACTCTGGAGTCGCAGCTGAAGGAGTCCCTGGAGAAGAAGAAGATGACCGAGGAGTCACTGTCGGAGCACAAGGACAGCCGCGCCGAGGCGAAGGAGGCCGTCGCCAAGGCAGAGGCCCTGCGCGCCGAGGAGAGCTCGGCCTTCAACAAGGAGAAGTCTGACTCCGAGACCAACATCAGCGCGATCAAGGCCGCCGTGGCGGCGCTGGAGAAGGGCATGGGCGCCTCCTTCCTTCAGTCCAGCGGCGCCAAGAGGATCGCCCAGTTCGCCATGGAGAAGGCCACGATGGCCGACGCCTCCCGGCAGAATCTCCTGTCCTTTTTGTCCGGCACTTCCGACTATGCGCCCAAGAGCGGTGAGATCACTGGGATCCTCAAGCAAATGGGGGACGAGATGGTAGCCTCGCTGAAGGAGGCGACCGACGCCGAGGACAAGGCGCAGGCCTCGTTCAATGAGATGACTGCCGCAAAGACCAAGGAGATCAGCACTCTGACCGCGCAGATCGAGGAGGAGATGCTGCGCCTGGGAGAGCTCAACGTGCTGCTGGCCGAGGGCAGCAACGACCTGGAGGAGACCAAAGAGACGCTGAAGGAGGACATCAGCTATCTGGCTGAGTTGAAGAAGGGGTGCAGCACGAAGGAGGCCGAGTGGAAGGAGCGTTGCAAGGTGCGCCAGGATGAGCTGGTCGCGATTACGGAGACCATCAAGATTTTGAACGATGACGACGCGCTGGAGCCCGCTGCAAGCTAATTCCCCCCAGTCCCAGAGAGGGCTCCCTGGCTGGGTGACCCTCTAAACGCAGGTGAAGAAGAAAGGAAACTGCACCTTTGAACAATTCTGGAACCTCGCTTCCCCAGTACGCACCCGACCTAGTTTCAGATACCCTTGCCCCATCGAGGGTGAGGGGAGGGCGGAGGGGGAGGAGGAGGAGGAAGGAGGAGAAGGAGGAGGAAGGAGGAGGACTAGTGAACGTAAACCCAAGACTCATCAACAATATTGTAATACACCCTCCCTCCAAGTTCCCTTCTCACAGGCCCTTACAGGGGTTCATTTTCATTGAGGGAAGTGCCCCGTTGGAAGACAACCGTCTGAAAATCCGGAAACGTGCCAGAACATTGTTCCTGGCATTTCAACGCCGCGAATCACCGTTACTGTTTTGTATCGTCTTGACGATCCTGAACCGTGCCAGAGCACCGTTCTTGGGATGTCAGCACCGCGACTCAACGTGACTTTTTGCGCCCCGGCACTCCGACACCGTGCCAACACACCAGTCCTGCTGCAAACTCTCAAAACCAATGTGCGTGGCGCTAAGGGCGCGAGCCACGTTCTGAAAAGGAGCTGCCCTTTTCCTGGAAGCCCTTGTACACGCCGGTCGTTGACAGTAGGTATTTTTGGATTTCCAGATTCCATTCTTTTTCAAGCGCCTTCCTACTTCAAGAAACGACACGCTTTTGCTGTGTCTTGTTGTTCTCTGGGGGGGCCTGGGCCCAATCCACTTTATCCGCCTTCCTACTTCATGTTTTTACCTACTTCTTCCGACCGACGTGCAAGCTTTGAGAACATGTGCGCGGCGCCAGGGCGGATGCCACATTGTTGAGCAGGAGCCGGCCCCCCATCCGTTAAGCCCTTGCGCACATATTTACACGGCGAGTGTGCGCGGCGCTACGGGCGAGCGCCAACTTTTGAAAGCAGCCCGCCCTCCATCCGTGAAGAAAAACACACACACACACACACTGTTTGAAAACAGCCCTCCTCCATCTGTGTGTTTTTTGTTGTGTTTTGTCTGCTGTTGTTTTTTTTGTTTTTGTTGTTGTGATTTTTTGTGTGTGTTTTGTTTCCCCCGTGTGTGTTTTTGTGTGTTTTTTTCCCACTGTGTGTGTGTTTTTGTGTGTGTGTGTGTTTTCCCACAGGCTTTTGTGTTGAGGCGAGTGTGCGCGGCGCTAAAGAGCCGCATTCTGGAAACGGCCCGCCCCGCATCCGTGACAGCCCAGCAGTTTGTTGAGACGGAGGTTCTGGGGCGCTAGAGTGTGATCCGTATTTTTTTGAAAACGATCCGCCCTTCATTCGTGAACGCATCGCGGTGTTTGGAACATGTGCGCGGTTCCAAAACGAGAACCACATGTTGAAAACCACGCGCCCTCCATCCGTAAGATTGCTGCACAATCGAATTCTCAGGATCGTAATGTGTGAGGAAGTGTCAGGCGAAACGCCCGCACCGCACCTTCGACTGGCCTCGGGAAGCGACATGGAGGGTCTATTTATAAGGATGACGTATCGAGGAATAGACGCAGATGGAGGGGAGAGTAGACGGATGAGGAGTAGGAACAGGCTTGAGAGGGAGGAATTAAAGGAGCAGGAGGAGGGAGGGTGATGATGTTGAGGTTGAGGAGGAGGAGAAGGAGGAGGAGGAGGAGGAGTAGGAGGTATAATAGGATGCACTAGGAGGAGGAAGGAGGAGGAGCTGGAGGAGCTGGAGGAGCAGGAGAAGCAGGAGGAGGAAGAGGAGAAGGAGGATGAGGAGGACCAGCGTCTCAGCGTCCCCGCGCAGTACACCCTCCCGTCGCGAGTCCCCTCATATGTCCAGGCAAGCCGTCCTTCTCACTACAAGACTCGCCCTCATTGACCGATCAACACCCCATGGGCTAGTCATTCAGGCGCGAGCCCTGTTTCAAACAAGGACCTGTCTTGCATCTTCCCAGCGCGCAAGCAGAGGGGTGATACGGTATGATCAGATAGTTGGCGGGGTGCCTACGACAACTTTGAAACAGGACCGTCCCGTCAGTGAAACTGTTACGCAACTTGACACTTATGGTCATTGACTTTGAGACATTCTCAAGCGAGAGTCCCATGCTCAAAGCAACCGCCATCCACCCTTGAAACTTTTGCAAGCTTCTGTGCGAGTGCGCGCGGCACCACGACGAGAGCTCCATCTTGAACAGGAGTTGCCCTCCATACGCATAACTGCAGCAAGGTTTCAAGACGAATATGAGCGGCGCTCAGGCGATAGCTAGTTTGGAACGTGAAGTGTGTGCTACACTCGGAACTGTTGCATGCTTTTATCCGAATGTGTGCAGCGCTAGAGCGAGAACCCGGCTCCATGTTGACACCCCATCCGCGCAGCGGTTGCGCAGCACTTTTAGGACGAATATGTGCGCGACGCTCATGCGAGAGCCCCACGTTGAAACACCATGCTTTGACGAACGATAAACACGCACCCATACCCATAGGGAGGACGGAAGGGGCTTTGGGTGCGTGTTGTCGGATGGGGCTCCCCGCTCGAACGGGAGACTCCCCCGTGGTCCGACAACCCGCACCCATACCCATAGCAAGTCCTCCTCCCGCCGACCCCCCTATGGGTATGGGTGTGTGTTGTCCGTTCGTCAATGATTCCCGTCCGTGTGGCGGTTACAAGTTTGAAGGCCCAGGATCATGCATGGTGACAGCGCCTCATGCGCAGCGCCTGGCCCGCCCTGCCTACATGTCTGTGGCTGAGACAGGAATTGGTTATATCTATTCAGCGGGATGGGTGAGGAACGTGGAAGGAAGAGGATGAGGAGGAGGTGGAGTAAGAAGAGGAGGAGGACGAGGCGGAGCAGGAGGAGGAGGAGGAGGAGGAGACGGCGGTGGATGAACAGGAGAAAGTATGAGGATGAGGAGGAGGAGGAGGAGGAAGAAGAGGTGGAGCTGGAGGAGGATGAGGAGGAGCAGAGCAGCGCAAGGAGGAGGATGAGGCGGAGCGAAGTCGGAGTGCCTCTTCAGGCATATCAAGGCGGGTGCAGGCTTAGAACAGTGCGCCGTCGGAGGCCGCCTCGGACTCGGGTTACGACACCTACTCGACGTTTCGCTCATCCAGGGCCTGCATTCCTTGTAACTCTGGGGAGCTCCGACCCCAGCAGGCTGATGGAGGCCAGCATGGGGACCTTGGAGGGGCCACCTTTGGGCGCTTCTCTATTCCGTTCCTGCACGTGAGACTCCTCGGCCTCAAGCGGGAGCAACACCGGTCGCTCGATTTCAGTCCATGCATGCACATTGGACGAAACAGGGGGCCCGACCACGAACGACTTCGTGGTACCGCGAGAGGGTAGGTGTCGACCCAGCTCCATCCTTGCTGCATCTGACTTTGACGCCTGGGCTTGCAGGAGCGTTCTTGCAGCGAGCCTTCGGCAAGACTTCTCCTTACAGTTCGTACAGCATGCCCTTTGTCGTGAATCGCCCAGACGCACCTGATGCTAGAGGGGCCGACAACGAAAGCAACTATTGCAACTAAAGGAGTAAATGTGCCAGAACGGCTAGAGCAATTGACACAACTAAAGTAAAACAAGAAGAGCAATCCATACAACTAATGCAGCATGTGCAAAACAACTAGCGCAATTAGCACAACGAATGCACGACAAGTGAAGCAATTCATACAACTAACGCAGCATGTGCAAAGCAACCAAAGCAAGTATTACAACTAGTGTCAAGCTAATACAGCAGTTCATGCAGCGAGTGTAGCATGTGCAAACCAACTGAACAAGTAATGCGGCATATCATGTGCAAAACAACTGTTCAGACTAGTGCAGCCAGGCGTTTTGGGGGCCCAAATGGGGCTTCTTTTCTATCTCAGCGTTACGGCTGTATATTGGATGTCGAAGCGCGTTGTTGCTCCATGTCGGCTGCTTGATTCAGTCGGTCATTGATCTGGTTGCCCAACTCCTTCGCCTTTGCGTCAATCCTGCTCAGAGTCTTGCCCAGGTTGTCCATTCTGTGTGTGGCCGTGTGCACCGAGGCGTCGGCCTCCTGGATGGACTCTACCGCCTTGAGGCCGTCCGTTTCGAGGCCCTTGACGTGTAAGAAGGCCATGATTGACCTCAACGTGTGTTTGCCAACTGTCGAGCCCGAGTTGCCTGCTGCCCAGGGCGACGGTGTGCTGCCTGCATGAGGCGACTTGATGCTGATTGGCGGGGCCTTGGTGAGGGTAGCCACCTGCGCCACGAGCCCATTGAGCTGCTTGGTAGCGTCACTGGGCGGCCGCTTCTTCCAGTCGCCCCGAAGCTGGACTCGATCTCCTCCAGGCGCTCGTGCAGGCACGGCGGTGGCGGCTCGGGCGGCGCGGGCCACCCTCCGCGGAGCTCCACGTCCGCATCCATTGTATTTGAGCCTCGATGCCCAGTTTGAGCCTTATCCGCAAGCACAGCCCCATGCAGGAGCCTTGAGTCAATGGAGAACACCTTGGCGATCGAAAGCGGCGGAGCACAGCTGGCCCCAAGCACGAGCAGTTTTGGCTTGCGAGCGCGGTGCCGCGCTGAAGTACACGTTCGCAATTCCCTCAATCGTTGGAGAGAGCAGCACGGCTAGGAACATGACGAAGAGAAGAAGGAACAGGAGGAGAGCGCAAGCGGAATGATAATGATGATGATTCTGATTACAATGTTGATGATGATCATGACGATGCTGTTGATGATGATGATGATGCTGATGTTGATGATGCTGATGATGCTGATGCTGATGCTGATACTGACCATGATGGTGACGATGATGACGACGATTACGATGATGATGATCATGCTGATGATGCTGATGCGGATGAAGATGATGATGCTGATTATGATGATGATGCTGTTGATGCTGATGATGCTGATGATGATGCTGATGCTGACCATGATGGTGATGATGATGATGATGATGATGATGATGATGATGATGATGATGATGGTGGTGGTGGTGGTGGTGATGATGATGATGATGATTATGATGATGATGATGATGATGATGATGATGATGATGATGATGATGATGATGATGACTGTGAGGATGATGCTGGTGATGATGATGATGATGATGATGATGGTGATGGTGATGGTGATGATGATGCTGCTGATGCTGATGCTGATGCTGATGCTGATGCTGATGCTGATGCTGATGAGGACGACCGCGACGCCGGAGATGGTGGTGGTGGTGGTGATGATGATGGTGTATGTGATGATACTAATAATGAGACGACGACGATGACGATGACGATGATGAGGAGGCGGAGAAGGAGGCGGAGGGGAGGAGGAGGAGGAGGAGGAGGAGGAGGAGGAGGAGGAGGAGGAGGAGGAGGCGGAGGGCGGAGCAGAAGGAGGAGGAGGCGGAGGAGCAGGGAGGAGGAGGAGGAGGAGGGAGGAGGAGGAGGGAGGAGGAGGAGAGGAGGAGGAGGAGGAGGAGGAGGAGGAGGAGGAGGAGGAGGAGGAGGGAGGAGGAGGAGGAGGAGGAGGAGAGGAGGAGGAGGAGGAGGAGGAGGAGGAGGAGGAGGAGGAGGAGGAGGAGGAGGAGGAGGAGGAGGAGGAGGAGGAGGAGGAGGAGGAGAGGAGGAGGAGGAGGAGGAGGAGGAGGAGGAGGAGGAGGAGGAGGAGGAGGAGGAGAGGAGGAGGAGGAGAGGAGGAGGAGGAGGAGGAGGAGGAGGAGGAGGAGGAGGGAGGAGGAGGAGGAGGAGGAGGATGAGGAGTGGGCGGAGGATCGTGATGCCATATTTCCCCGCCGTCAGGAGCTCTTTAAAAAGGCCCTGCCGGCACCGTCGGTGAGCCTCCTGCAGGTCGAGGGCAGCGCCCAGGCCACGCGCAAGCGCGCGCTCGCCGCCCTGCGCGCCAAGGCCCACAGCAGCCCGCGGCTCGACCTCGTGATGTTGGCCATTCAGGCCTCCGCCTCCTCGGCCCTCGACCTCCTCCTCCTCCTCCTCCTCCTCCTCCGCCTCCTCCCCCTCCGCCTCCCCCTCCTCCTCCCCCTCCGCCTCCGCCTCCTCCTCCTCCTCGGCCCTCGATCGGGCTCCGGGGAGCGAGGTTTCGTGGGCGTCTGGAGGGTCTTCTTCGTCGCCGCGGCCGGATGCCCCTCGAGCTTCTGGCCCGAGCGGATCCCAGGTGGACCTCTGCCCCCGAAGCCGGACCGCCATGGAGAAGAGGGAGAGGAGGGGCTCGTGGAGGAGAGGGGTCTTGGATGCCCGTCGCCGTCTTCGAGGCCCCGGGGGCCCTTCGCCGCCCCCCCCCGGGCGGTCCCAAATTGGCTCTCGGCATAAGAAGCTGGTCCTTGCGGGAGCTTCGAGGTCCATGGCTCACGCCTTCCTCCCTCTTTCTCGTTTCTCGCTCGCCCCTCGCTCGCTCCTCCTCGGTCGGCCAGTCGGTGTCTCACGACATTTAAGAAGGTTGCCGATGTTAACATAAAGAACGTGAGGACAATGGGGCGGGGGAGGAACGTGAGCAGCGCTCGCTCCTGCTCTGTCATGTCCGCAGCGGGCACCTACGTACTAGACACCACGACTCTGTCTGGCCAGGGCCATCTCCTCGTGGCCCCGGCCAGGAGCTCGAATGCACAATGCCAGGGCCCAGGATGGCAATGGCCAGGAATGGTAGTTTTTCGGGTCCCTTCATTCCCCCTTCCTCGGCGGTACGTCATTGATTGATTGGCTCGCTGTGCCGCTGGGGTCGAGGCTGTGTCGATGCACGATTCCTCGATTTTATTCTTATGGGCAAGCAGCATCTCATATACCACCTTACCACCCTTGGGCCCCCCAGAGTACACCAAGTGCTCCCGCCCATTCCGCCCCCCCTGGGTTCTTCCAAGAGGCGCGACAGGCCCTCAACACGACCCGAATGCCCCACTTACATTTCCTAAGAGGTCTCCCTGCAGGCCTCCAAGAGAGCCGAAGAGGGCCCCAAAGGCTCCATCATGACCCGCATCGTGCTCCAGTAGGACAACCGACGCTTCGCGTAGCCCCACCAGCCCATCCAGGAACGATGCCCAGACGAGTTGCCCTGATCAGCGATGTGGAGGACCATGGTGAGAGTGCGGTTGTCGCAGAGCGTAAAGTCGTAAGTCGCTGGGACGGGCTGGGGGTGCCCGTGCTTCTCTCCAGCTTGCTGCCTCTTTGTTTGGCCCTCCGCGGCCCATCGGGGCTCAAGCTTTCCTTGCGCTCTCTGAAGCCCCAGACGCCCTGCGGGCTCTTGGGGGCGGTTCGCGGGGAGCCACACAGCCCGGCGCCGCGACAGAAAAAATCGACCCGGGCGTGCCCGCGGGTCGCGGGCGCCGGTGCGCAGTCCGGCCGTGGTGCGCAGGAGTTGGCGGCGTGGCCAGCTGGGGGAGTTATGATAAAACGACGCGAAGATCGGGACAAAATCGGATCGGGATAACTCGAAATCTCGAGAATCGGCGGCTTTGGAGGATGTATTGGGCGCCGCGGCCGCTCCAGAGCGTTCCGGAACGCTCTGAGAGCGCTCCGGAACGTTCAGGAGCGATTTATCCCGATCCTAGCCCTGTTTTATATGACGCTCCCCATGGCGATTGGGGTGCTGGCCGCGGCGGGAATCGGGCACTTGTTTTCGAGGGCGCAAGCAGCGACGCCAGCGGCCCCGTCTGTTGGGGACGATGGGCCCTTCAGTTTGTGCGAGGTGGAGCGCGGCCTGGTGTGAAATGGTGCGAGCAAAAGCAAAGAGAAGCACCAACAACAAAACACCCAAGGTGTTAATAGTTGGTCCATTGCGCGCAGCCTCCAGCAGGTTACAGGCATTCAATTCGACGCGACTTGGACCAGAAAATATGACGGACTTCTTCGACTACGGGGGTCGACGCCTCAAGGATTGCGTTGGAACAATGTGAGGGTCAGAGAAGCAATGGGTTACTGTGTCTTTTGAACACGCGGGAGCCTCAGGTTTGACCTCATCGCGAACGCAGCAAATGTTCAAGCGCGACGGTGTGGAGGTATATGAATGCGACCTGCGAAGTAAAGCTTTGAAACACATCGTGCAAAGAAAGGAAAGGTTTGTAAGCAGCGCGCGCGGCTCATGACTTGCAGCCCCTACATCGGACATTGCCGCCAGCGCGAAATGTCAGGGTCAATCGAGGAGATCAGAGGCATATCCGACCGACTTCGCCGTTGTATATTTGAAGGTCTTGCGAACCCGATGATTGCCGATGACTGCTTAGGGCGCTCCTTCATAATTTTGGCTCAGGAGTGTAATTGAGGTGAACTGGGCGCGAGAATGGGAATTAGGGAGATCGGCTGCGAATCGAATGAGAGTGGAAATTGGCATACGTTAGTTTGGAACCGAAGAGAATTATGGCCACGCGGCAGCATGCTTCCAGGAAGTTCCGGTCCAACTATGAGTTTATGCCTGCGCAGGATTACTCGAGACCTGGACGTCGGCCAGAGGGCCAGAAGGTCAGTGATATTAAAGGGCGAGGGGCGGAGGAGAGAATCCAGAGGAGGAGCGCGCAACATCGCCGCGCGATTCGCCCGCCGGTTCGCCGGGACATCCAGCCACAGAAGTGGATTTGCGGAGCTTGCCGGCACCGCGGCTGGTTGCGAATTCCGCGGAAATTCAAGGAATGAAAGAGTGTTGGCGGTTTGCCGCCAGTTGCCAGGGAGGACACATGCGCGGGTTATCGTGAAGATGGTAAAGCACGGGCTTGGGGGGACGCATCTTGGGGTTGGCTCGATCCAGGACGCGCGTTCAAAGCTCGGGGGGAGAGATGAGGCACTTCAGGAAGGATGAGGTCTTCGAAAGGCAAGGGAAGCGGAGTGCTGGGCCGTTGCCGGCAAAGCGCCAACAGGCACGGGGAGGATCGAGATCAACAAGGGCGACGAGGACAATCCCGAGTTCCGACCCCAGCTGGCGGCGCAGCAAGTCGAGTGCAATTCGGCTGAAAAGAGCACCTTTGCCGCCGTCCTTCCAGTGGAAGCCGAAACCGCTGTTATTTCCCGCGGCCGTTGCCGATGGGAGTGGGGCGTGAACGCGGGGGGCGCGGGAAGGGGCCCGAGCTGGGGCTCGCCGATGTGACGCGGGCATCTTCTGCGCCGAAGCAGAATAACTGCGCTGCGCGCGCGCGGGGGGCCCGGGCGCCGCCGGCAATTGGGGGATTTTTGAATGGATTTTGCACGTGGCATCGATTATGCGGGCTCGTTCCAGCCGCCGACCGCTGGAATGGCGCCTGGGCCCGATGGGGAGGCATTCCGGTTGTTTCGGGTGCTAGTCTGGCGGCGTCGGTCGTTTCTTCGGTCGTCTGAGCTTGTCTCGGGGTGTCTGCGGTCAAATATTGGTTCCTGCGCGCGCGGGGTCGCCCGGGGCTCGGCGAGGCGACGCGGGTCAGATTGGGCCAACGCGGCAGATGCGACTAGGGCCCGCTCGGCGGGGGTTTGCCCGGGAAGCCCCCCCAGGGGCAGATCCTTAATTCGGCGCCCCAAAAATTGCAGAAAGTCACTTGGTTGAAAAATATCCGGGTAATTTCCCGATTGCAAATCTCTGGCGCGGGAAATATTTGGAGCGCGGATATTTCAGGGGCGTCGCGCAGAAATCCCGGGGAATCCCCGGCAAATCTCCAGAAAATGCCAGGCGCGTCGCTGGGGGGCAGCGAATCTCCAGCTCAGAGATGGTCATGGGATATTCATGCGGCGCGGATTTTGTCCAGAGGTTCGCTGGGGGATTTTTCGGCGCGACGATTTTTGGGCGGCCCGCCGGGGGGCTTCTGGCGGGCGCAGATATTGCGGAGATTCGCTGGCGCATTTGTTGAAGATAGGAGATTCGCGTGAATTCGCGGGGCGATTTTTTAGAGATTCCAGGGCGGTCGCGCAGGCCGCGCAAGACGCGGCGCTCGAGAGCCCCGCGAGCATCGTCGGGGTGGCCCTTAGCTCTCGCCCGGGCACGCCGGTTGTTGGGAAGGCGCCACCCGCGCAGATCAATTGGGCGGGGGCGAGGGCGCGCGCCGAATTGGGGGCGAGGGCGGCTGGCGGCACTGAAGCGGCGGGTCGTCGGCCAGGAGGGGGAGGGCGCGGGCCGCGTTCGCGCTCTCAGGGGCGAAGGCCGCGCTGCGCCGGCAGGCGACGCCTAGTGGGGCGGCGCGACGCGGATGCGAGGTGGCGCGGCCGTGGCGAACCAAGGCGCCGCCAGCTGCGCGGCGCGGAGGTTGGCGGGCGGGGAACTCGAGCGAGGGCGACGCGGAGATGGGCCACACGCCGCTAATCGCGGGGCCTCGGTCAGAAGGTGGCGCCGCGCGCAAGCGGAAGAGGGTTGAGGCCAGCGGCGGCGCGACGGGGAAGGCGCCGGGCAGGCGAGCGCTGGCGGCCGCGTGGTTGGGGGGGGCGCAGCGACTGGGCGGGGCGCGCGGGGGGGGGGCGCGCTGGCGGCGGGGTCGAGTCGGCTATCGCGCGCGGCGGAGTAGCGGGCGCAGATTAGGGATTTATTTGGGCAGGGGCCAGATGAAGGCGCGGAGTGCGGGCGCCGAGACTGGCGGGCGCAGGCAACGAGCTGCGCGCGGCGCGGCGGGGGGCGAATGGCCGGCTCGGGCGCGGCGGATGCAGGAGCGGCAGGCGCGTCGCGAGAGGCGCCCCCGCGCGGGGCAGCAGCGCCCCCGCTGGAGACGCCGCGCAGGAAGCTGATTATCATGTGGGAGTGGCTGCGGCGCCGAAGGATCCGCGGAGGGCCCCAGGGCGTTTCGCGGCGATTGTTGCCGCGGGAGTGCGATCGCCGCCCGGCGGCGCCCGCGGGCCCGGATGATCCCGCGCCACCGCGGTTGGAAGCCTCGGCGGAGGGTGCGGCGGCAGAATCGCCGAGGGCGCGCGCGCCGAGCGTTCGCGGGCCGCGCCCAGCGGTCGGAGAACGCCGAAGCGCGCGATCGCCTGCTGGATGAGCGCCGCGACATTGGGCTGTA